AGTATATATTATTACGGTTTTCCCTGTTTTTTTTTAATGTGACCATTGTCTGCTTTGGAATGCTCTTTGGGGGAAGTAAGTCTATCTTTCAAATGCCTTTTTCCATAGGGTACAACAGTTCTTTCTTGTCTATCAGGAAACATCACTGGTTTTTACTGGAAGAGTGTAATGAAAGAGGTGTTTAGGTTTTACAAGTTCTTAAAAAATAATTTTATTACTGTCAAGTGGAACCAATTTTAATGTTTTCATGTCCTAGATGGGAATTATCAGTGTTGACAGAAACCTTAAAGGGGTGGAGAAAATAGTAAATAGGCTTTTAAACTGGAAGATTATATATATATCCAAGCACCTAGCAGCTCTGATACAGATAGTTTATCTTCAAACCAGTAGGAACAGCCACATGGCTGCATCATCTTACCTGATGAAAATCCTAATAAATTTTTTACTATTCTCCATTCTGCCCCAAGATTATGGAGGGGAGAGGTAGGGAGAAGGTTTTATGAATCCTTCAGTACTATTTCACACCCCTCATTCCCAAATGATGGTGAAAGAACTGCTGATGGTCTGTGATGCCACAGGCCATGCTTATTTCTGCGAATCAGCACTGGAAGGGCTCCACTGGTGTATTTTAGGTCCCTTCCCATCCCTCAGATTGTCACAGAGCCACAGTCTTTTCCCTTCACTGGGCCTTGCTGTGCAAAACACATCCTTTGTTGCATGGCAGGTTGCTTGGTGGGCTGCTCAGTCCCAGGCTGCATGTCTGTGTGATGGCTTGCAAAAAAGGCATGTAGAACCCATCACACACCTACGCGCAGTAACTGGCTTGACTTCTTCAGACCCTTGTACGGTTAGGAATAGGGATCAGTAAAGATAAATGGTATCTTTGGTGGTCATTCAAGTACAGCAGAAAACTCCTAGGGGGCAGATGAAGTTTGTCTGGCCTCTGCTGCCTAATGACCCTTTTTTCTGGAGAGTGTCATGCTGAATTTGTAGTTGTGTCTCTTTGTTTAAACATTGACTTTCAATTTATTACTTAAGGGACCCAGCCTTAAATTAGTGATGGGTCATTATTTGCCCTTCCTAATGGTAGACTGAACTGTGCACACAAACATATCAGAAACAGCTGAGGGTAAAATGCTTTCTAGTCTAGCAGCCCAGCACTTTATGCTGGTGTCACTTTGATTAACATAAACTGTCAGTGGCCATGGCAGCTGGAGAAAAGTTTGTCTTTATTACCTGGAAACTCAGCAAGACAGTTGTTTTTGCTTTGGTATGGCAGTAGGATGGAAAACGAATAGTCGGTGATGCCCCGTGTTGGGTGCTGTAGAAAGTCTGTTTCCATTTCCTGGTGCTTGGAGCAGAAGGCTCTGGCCTCCTTGGCCACAGACCACTTCTAGGCAGGCAGTAGACATCCTCAACAAATGTTCAGGCAGGGCTCCTAAGAGTCTCTGCTGACTCAAGTGAAAATGCAGCTCAGTGTTAAGCACAAGTAAATAGACAGGGCCCTCTGGAGACACAACCATATTGTTTCCGCTTCTTCTTAGGCTTCCTTAGCACTAGGGATATCAATAGGCAATAATATAAATTTATCCAGTAGTTTTTTTCCCCCTTGTAGGATCTGCATCTCATTAATTTTTGTTGGCTGGAGAATATATCGACTAAATATCTAGTGGAGTAAGCCCACAAACCTAAGTATGATAGTCTTGGTTTACAAGCTAAGCAGTGTTCCCCAGGTAATCCTTTGCTTCTTTTCCTCCATCACTTGCTGAAATGGAGCTACATATAACTAGAAGGGAGCCATGTGGGAATTAACGCATCTAAACAGTAAAACATGCTGCTGTTAGGAGCATGGAGGTTGGGCTGAAGGACCTAAACAAATCTCATTTACTCTAGATAACAGACTGCTTATGTTGCTGTGTGCATTCAACATTTTACAGCAGAGTTTTGAGTTTTCTGGCTGATGCATATTTTCTGCTATTGCATAAAGGATTGTGATATAAAATCAAGATGAAGTCAAGCTGGTGGAGTTTCATTCACTGCTGGGATGTTTCTTCTGATGTGTAACTATCCTCCAAAATTGATCCTCTATTTTTTCTAAGTCACATCTCTTACTTCTGGCTCCCCCTTCAGCACCCACATTTAAATGTGAGAGTGATATCATTCTACAGTCAGAAATGTTTTCAGGTTGGGTTTTTCTTTGGCCTCCTTCTATTTACTTGTTTGTTTCCTTATAACGTCATGGTTCTGCTTGGAAATATGTTTGGCTACACGGGAAGAGTATCCATTGCAATTTATGCTTCCTGACCTTTGGTGAAGCTAAAATAAATTGCTTTTTGGAAAGAAACCAGAGGCTCTCCTCTCTGTTCCTTTCAAAGAAATCTGACCTTACAGTTGTTTCTTGTGGGGACAGTAGAAGCTTCTCTGAGCCAGAGAAAAGGAAGGAGGAAAGGGTAAAATTTTCCTGTGCTGACTTTTTTTTTATAACTCAGATATTCCTTGATGGACACAGGGTTTTTCAAATCTTTTCTCTTATTGACAGGGCTGCCTGTCATGCTTTATGCACTTAACTCCTTGTTGCTTTAACTGAGTATCTGACATTCCTGAGCCACTGTACACGTGTTCCCTCTCCTGGAGCGTGATGTGGCTGCTGCTGTTCCCTCTAATGCATAGCCAGAAATGATGAGAAGTCGTTCACAGATTGGACAGAACTAATGAAGTAAGTGTCTGCAAGCCCCTCATACAGCCATGCATGAATTCTTGGTGATACTCTCCCAGCTGCAGGGGTCATGGATTGGGAGTCATGCTGCAAATGCTGTACAGGTACTGCATAGGAAACAGAGGAAATAAATTCTGCCAGCTGGCAAGAGGTCATTGCTCTGGCACTTTTATGGTCTTGGTGATCACAGAAGCAAATATAGCATCAGCTTGCAGCCTATGCTGCTCAGGGGAATTCCTGGAGCCTGGAGGTTCAGGTGCTGTCAGTGTAGGCTTAGAAGTCCCAGATAAGTTCTGATGTCTTCTCTGGGCATCTGATTTCAGCTCCAGCTTTTCCCAGAGAGTGCTCAACTCTGTCCAGGGAAGAAGTCACCTGACTTACATATGTAACCTTTTGCTTTTTCAGACTAGGCATGTGTGTTTGGAAGAAAATGACACGCTTAGGAGAGCAGTGACCATGAAATTCTCAATCTCAACCATGTGCCTATCTATGTCTTATCAAAGTCTGAGGCTCAAGGCTGTGTTAAGTATTTTTAAATTACTCTCTAAAGTGAATAAGTAATGAACCATCCTGCACATTGTTACAGAAAACAATGCCATTGGAGGAGATCAGGAAAAGTTAATTTCTGACAATTCTTTTTAACAATGTGATACAATTTATTTGAAATTTGGGGAACAGTTAGGGGCAAAGGGAGAAACACTCCTCCCTTTGGTTAACCTTGCTCGGGAAATGTGAATCACTGAACTAAATAAAGTTTGTAAGAGATGCTCTGAAAATACTATGCTACGCCCTATAATTCAGCCAAGAATGAAGGAGGCAGGAAAAGAAAACATCAAAAGTCCCTGCTTTTTTTATATTGTTTCCTGGCACATTTCTCTTCCCCCACTTCCCCCTCCCCATCTTCTTTCTGGTTTTGTTGTTTCATCTCTTTTTATTTCTCCCCTCTCTTTTTAAAAAAAAAAAAATCCTTTTCATTTTGTAAAGCTAGTACCATAACTTTAACAACAATCTTGTTGTCTACAGATGACAACAATGAGAAATGCCAAAGGAGAAGTGAGTCCTGTAGGGACCGGAGGACAACAAAGACAGTTTTCAACATTTTTATTAGGACCTCATGATGTACACATGAAAAATTAAGTTCAGAATATTAACTGCTCTTCAGATGGCGCCGTTTAAGTCTGGAGGATGTTAACATTCCTGCTGCATGACAAAGGTCCCCCACCCCCTGGGCTGATACTCATCCTGCTCAAAGGGGCAGTAACATCTAAGGATGAACAGGCTGGGCACCAAATCCTGCTTGAAGCCTACTTTCACAGACTTATCTTAGGATTTCCTAGCACCCCCTTGCCAGGGTCAGTTTGCCCTTGAGGGCCAGGCTGCCTAGCTCTAGTTCTTTGCAGTGCCCAGCTGTTTCACCATTTTCACGCATCTGAATGTATGCTTTGGCAGAGAGGATTATTAGCAGTAGAGGATAAAAGGCAGTAGGGCAGTACCTGTCCCTGAAGTGTGGAAGTGGGGGTTTGAGCAGCCACTTCTGTAGTCAGGTTTAATCATGGGGAAGGAGTGTAGGCTCTTTTTATGGACAAATCCAACCGCAGTACCCCTGTGCTGGCCTGTGTGGATACTGGGAGCTGGCAGTGGCATGCAGTGCCAGGGTAACAGCAGGCACTGGGAGGCATTGAGCTTGTTCCCCCAACATTTGGGGCAGGAGTGTGAAACCCATCCCTTCAGTGTCTGGCATTCAGCCTTTCCTGTTTAATAGAAGTCTAGCAGGGGAAGCATGTGTGGGTCACATGAGCGGTGTTCCTCTGCAGGATGCCCGAATCTGCCCTACTCTCCTAACCATGAAGAAAGCAGCAAAAGAAACAGAACTCTTTTATTTTCCTGTCCTTTCTAAAAAGCCAAGCTGCTGGGTACCACTGTTGCTCTGCCCTCTCCCTGGCCCTGATGGATGCCTTAGAGGGGTTGGGACCTGGAGCTGTGCAGCCGCCTGGGCTTTGCAGGGAGGTGGCAGCTCTCACTACCAGGGAGGCACAAAAACAGCTTGCTCTCTGCTTTTCCGTCTCTGTTTTGCTGCCTGACCCCTTGCCCCGCCTCGTAAAAACAAACATGTGCAGCCTGACTTCCAGGTGCTTTTACTGGTTAAAGGCCCAGGGCAGCAGATGCAGCCAGGGGAGTGCAGGATGGGAAGGGAAGGAGAGGGGGTTTTCTCCCCAGGCTGCCGAGCTCTGCAGCCACTATTTAGCCTGAGGGCTGGACTAGCAAGCATGTGGCTCAGGCAGTCCCCATGGAGCACTAATGACCTTTGGGTCTGTAGCTTCACTGTCCCCAGACCCGGTGCTTTTCCATCTGGTTCCTGGTATTCCCTTAAATCCCTGCTGGCTGTTTAATAGCAGTCAGGGAGTTTCAATGAAGCTAAGGTCACTTTGGCTCACTAAATGTCACTGCTTCTAAACTGGAACCAGACTGAGTTGAGGGTTGTGTTTCTGCTGGGGGGAGCAATGGCGAAGTGTCCTCTTGACTCTTCACCAGATGTTGATCCTGAGCCCACTGCCTGAGCTCCAGGTTTACTTTGTGTGAGGGTCAGTCTCTACAGTACATTTATGAACATGCCCCTGAGTGAACTGCTTTTATTTAGATGTGGGTTTTATGTCAAAGTCCTTATATATTTTGTGGGGGGTTTTTTTGTGTGTTTGGGAGCACTCGTTTGTGTGTACCTGAAGTTGCCTGACGTGCCCAGCCTCTGAATCACCCTGTCTCTGTGAGGAATTATGTGTGAGCACTCAGTAACCCAGCATGAGCAAAGAAGCTTCTATATGTCTTTAAGGTCAGTGAAAGCTGAAAACAGATGATTTCTGACAATTGCTTGACTTCCAGATCTGCTGGTAGCACCAAGAAGCTGTGGCCAGTTAAGTACTACTGAAACAAGCCCCAAGCCTGGCTGTGCTTCACTCTGTGTCTCTGGCTCTGTTGTGCTGTCAAGGAGCAGAGCTTTATGCCAGGAGAGCTGCCTCAGCGACTGCTGAGCAGCAGGGCACTGCTCTTGGTCTGTGGAGAGAAGGCTTGAAGCTGCCCTTCAATGCAAAGCTTGAGTGCTCTGCTGAAGAAGTGATTATCCTGCCCTTCTAACCCCTCACCCTTTTCCTATTTTTTTCTTTCTCTCTTCTTAAGAAAGTAATGGGGGAAAGTTTGTGAGAGACTAGTGTTTGCTGATCTTGTGCAAAGCGTGGTGACAAATGATGGCTGGAGAAGCATGACAAGGCATGTAAACTTGTGCTAATGGAAACCTGTGTGCCAGCTGAGTGTTTATTCAGGCCTGTCATTGTCAACAGAGACCTCTTTACAAGTATTGTTTGTAGTAACAAGTGCACCATGAAGGAGAATGTGGCTTTGAATTCTATGTATTTGCCTCTTTGAAAGAAATAATAAAAATAAAAAAAAAGCCATTACCCCATTTTGACATGGAATAATGGCAGTAACTAAATACCTGCTTGTATGTCTGCATATTTTGGTTTTAACCAGCCTACTTTCTATAAATCATACGTCCTCTTAATTGCACTGTTCTCATTGGTACTGCTGAATATATATTACTGTCGCACGTGTAGGCATCCAATTTGTCACCTGCATGTTTTGATATTCCTGGCTGAAACAGAATCAAAAGGGACAGCAGTGTCCCAGTGTTTTTTCTCTGCAAAGCAAGAGAGAAAAGAGATTATTGAGCTGACTGTTACACTTATTATTGTGGCTTTTCAGCAAAATGTTTCTCAACTAAACAAACAATAGTGGAAGTTAATTTTGGATAGAATTCACTGATTTGCAGTTATTTAGACAAAATATATATGAATTCTTAAACATGGCATAAACAAAGCACTATATCTTGTTTCAAAAGTGCATTAGAATGTATTGTATCCATTCTGTAAAAGAGAAATATCCAAGGAGTTTTGCTGATCATTGACTGAATTTATCACATATACCTTTTTCCCTTTAAAAAAAAAATAACATGCTACAGCTCTAAATTTTTGCCAATCTCGTGGACCTATACAGATACCATTGAACTGAATACCAGTTGACTGAGAGTCCAGAGAATCAGAAATAGGACTAGATAACTGGGGTAATGAGCGTCATCTACATTCAGCAATTTAGAATAGCATCCAAGGTTTGCCTGTTGGATCTTCTGTGTTGCATCATGAAAATATGAGTGCATGATGGCACATACTGGAAATTTGGAATTGGTCTGTTTCTGATTCCACTCTGGCTTTCTGAGACTCCTAATTTCATCATGCCTCAGAGTTTTTTACTTTAAAAATGCTAAAAATCCACACTCAGCAGTACTTTCCTCAAAAAGATCCTGTGAAATTGAATTGCTTTAAAATTCTTGGGGAGAGTTTTGGAGAGAAGATCCCCTTGAAGATCTGCATCTGCACAATGAAGCGGGGATTAGTTTAAATGGTGAATGTGGCCAATGCAGTGATCTTTGAGCTGAGAGAGGAGTCCTGACACAAATGTTGTCTCTTATTTTCTGGTTCACTGGTCTTCTACAGAGATTGCTGCTCTACCCGGGTGCCAGTAACGCCCCCTGTACATTTTGTTAGAGCTGATTTAGAGGCAGGCCCAGATGTGTTTGGGGTAGGCTGGCTCACCACCCTCCCAAATGTAACTTAAATCCCAAAGCTGCAGCAGAAACTGTGGGGAGGCAGTGCTGCAGTCTGTTGTGTGAGATAAAGTTTTTAATCTCTCCTGTTTCCCTTGGCACTCCTGTTTGCTGGGCACACAGGAAAAGCGTTCAAGCCATTTATGCATCTGGCCTTTTTGTAAAGCCTTGGGAGGACCCTGCTTACCAGGCTCTGATCTCTGGTTCAATAGAAACAACGCTCAGTTTGTGAGCCTCTCAAGAGCTTAACTCCCTGTTACTTGGAAAAAATATTTGCGTCAGGTCTTAAGGTCCTCTGCAGCTAAGCTTTCAGGGTTGGCTGTTGAAGTAATCTAGGAGGTAAAGTGTAAAAATCTGCTTCTGGAAAGGAGTAGAAATGGAAAGAAGTAATACATTTGAGTACATCGGGGAGAGAATGTGCAAAGCAATTTAAGCCAGAGCGGTTCAAGCATTGAACAGTGGATAGTGGAAGATTTGCTGTCAAGTGTTTCCATTTTTCTTTATCAACTTAAGAAGTGAGCAAATTGCTGGCATTCAGTTCAAAAAGTACAATGACAAACTCTTTCAGATGCTACTGACTCCAGAATCTAAACGATCAGTTTCATTACCAGTTTCAGTGCTTAAATACTGGGCCTGCTAGCAATGTTTCCTGGACAGAGCAGGCAGTAATTAATTGGTTTATACATGTTTATACTGGACAGACACTAACCCCTTGTTAAAAAGAACTGTGCATAAAAATAGTTGTGACAAAAAGCCTGGACTCAAAGAAAGACTGTACCTTAAGTCACCTTAACAAAATCTCTTGTTTCCTTTTGCTTTTATCAGGAGGTATCTTCGAATTTTTACAATGAAGTATCTTGCCAAGATCCCCCAGTTTCTGTGACTCAGAGCTGTGGGTCAACAAGCAGCATAAATGCACCATCACTGCTCCCTGCCCAGGCCAGCCAGCCTGCCCTGACACAGGGCGTGCTGTCAGGGTGCATTATTCCCTGCATGTGGCTCCAAGGGCTCTGTATTTCCAAATGGCCCAGCCACAGAGGGACAGACAAAACTCATTTGGGGACCTGGCCATGACTCTCAATTATGCTGCAGAGATACCCTTGTAAGCACAGCTTCGACTCCTTACTCTTGCTCTGCAGCACTCCTTGAGCTGCTTTGACAGTCCAGAAGAACAGAGCATTGCAAGGCACCTTCAATAGCAAGGAACATTGCTACTGAAAACCCAGTTTTATTAAGAACCTTTGAAATTCCCAGGCTAAAAACAGATATGTGATTTTCTAAAGGTGCTTCTGCTGAAAGGTTAATTTTGTATTAATTACCATCCAGGAGAGAAATTATGTGATCAGTGTACAGCTAGTAATTTGTCTCTAGAAGAGTTAAAGCAAAGAAAACTCTGACTCATTAGAAGGGAATAATTCCTTTATTTGAAGCACACATGAAACAGGAGTCCGGATGGCAAAGGAACAAAGCCTTATTCTTTCATGTGCATTTGCTGAACGCCTTGGTGTCTTAGATAAAGGACAAGTATCTACTAGTGGATTACCATTATGAAAAAGTCAGGATTAAAAAAAATTAAATAATTCTCAGTGAGGCTGTGTAATTGAAACTCCATAGAAGTTCAAAAGCTTAGGCCAGTAAGCTCCTGGCCACCAGCTAATTCATGTATTTTATGACAAGAAGGCAGAATGCTAATTAACAGAACAGAATATGGAGGGGGAGAATGAGAGGGCTGCATGGATATTCAGTGACAACCATCTGAACTTCAGAGGCAGTACAGAGGGCTATTAATACACTCCCTTGCCCTGTCTTAGAGTGCTGACCTCACTTCTAATCCTGCCCCTCCAGGGTACTTAATTTCCAGCATTGCTCAACCCAGTCAGGCCTGTTTAACAGTTTCTTTTCTGAGTTAGTCTCTTTGAAGAGGCCCTATTTTTCTGTTCAGCGACATGAAAGAGATACTGATGTTGATTATCAAAGGCATGTGCTCCAAACCACCAAGTGTCTAATGCCCAGGGGAGGTAATATTATCTCTGCCTTCAACATTTACATCCTCCCGCCAAGAAAGATGTGGTGGTTAACTAGCACATCTTTTTTCCTTCCTACTAATTTTACATGAGCTATTAATCAGAGGGGAAAATTAACTAATTCTTCAGCTTGTAGGTCATGCTAGGGCAGCACTCTCATCTAGATTAAAAGGACTGTGGACTGGTGCAAAGTCATCTGTGCTGTTCCTTGGAGACAGACAGGTTTATGTATGTCCCTTTTTGCTACATGCACCGATGAAGTTTCACTGCAAATCTGTCCAGTGACTGCAAACCTTAGCCCAACTGCACAGCTGGAGGTCTGGCTACCCCCACCTGCTCCTGCTTCTGAGAGGAGTCTGCTCCAGCTACCAGCTGCCACGGCAAAGACTAGTCAACATCTGCCTGCTCGCTGTAAAAGGGAAAAATCTCTCCTGAAGGAGCTCTTGGGCATTCACCTTCTGATGAAGAGGGAAGGTCTCTCTACCAAGCAGTCATAATGGCCTGAGCTTTTAACCCAGACATCCTTTAAATTCCATTGTGGGCAGATGGAGCTCAGAGGTAAAAAAGGGGAAGCAATTGCTGCCTTAAATGAAACTATTGCTTGGGGTTTCTTTCTATAATGATTCCCTACTCACCAGCTGAGGAACTTTTCTGCAGGGCAGCAGAGAGAGCTGTGGCTCAGCATACTTGCATAAAGCACTGGCAAATGACACCATTGCTGAAACTCGTCTCCTGAAGCCAAAGTGATCATGCATGTGCAGCAGCAGGTCCTCTCCGATGCAGTGATTCAAGTCTTGTCCCATCGTGACCCTTACTGTACAGAAGCTATAGTAGGAATGCATGTATATATCATGGTTTTTACTATGGATTCTGGGGTCTGGACTCCATGGCTCAAGAGGTCTCCTTC